GTTATGACAAAAGCCGCTTCCGCTTTTTTTTGCTTGAACGCCGTTGTGGCTGAAAGCATCCCGGTTAGGGCTGGGGTAGTCTGCTGTATCGCAAGATGTCAGACTTCAAGGAGGCCACCTGCACGTGCGTAGCTAGGGAGAGGGTACGGGAGCCTGTCATCGGCCACTTTGCACCTTGAGCATTCCGCCGGAATGCCTTTTCGAGGGCGACTGGATGTGCAGCCAATGCGGCGATCATCAGCTCAGGCCTTAGTTCAACTGGCTTCGCAGCAGCACACATGTCCTAGACTGCTGTTGCTGGTTTGAACCCCGAGGTTTGCACGCAATACTACATGTCGCAAGTGTGGTAACCCACGTGATGCGTGGGTCTCGAGACTCGCGAGTGCTTGGGAGCCACGACTAGATGTGACGTTGATCTGAATCAACGAAGCAGAGCTTTGGTTTTGTGCTTCGTGATGTTTTTGGAGTTACTGAGTCCAGCAATTGCCTCCGCAGGGAGGTGCGGGAGGCGGTGGTGGCAGAATGCAAGCGGTTCAGCCGACAGCTCTCCCCTCGGTCTTCCCAGATTCCATCACAAGATTCGGTAGCTAAGATGCTTCCAGAGCTTGGGACGGCTTGGTGAGGTTGCATAACATTTATAACCGCAAATGCGAATTTTTTACAGGGAGGGGCGCAGTTTGACTCATCATCACCAGCGGCAGCATGACGCAGGTCATCAACTTGCAATCATCATCACCATCATCGTGACCCATCCTTCATGATCGAGGCCAATCCAATTGTCGTTACCATAGTAATGAGCATCGCTTCTCACGGACAAAACAACTCACCACGCTCCACTTCATTGCTCGCTCTCTTCATTTGCTCGGGCTGAAAGCCAGGTACCGACCAAAAGCCTGCGCAGTGTGCTCGTCCTGCACGTGCCGGCAGTCCGAAGACACTTGTCTCGCCCGTGCACTTCGTCGTCATGCACTTGCTGACGCTACTCAGGCCACGTGCCAACTTCCTCCCTCCTCTTGTTCGATTCTCTCGCACCCTGGTTCCGCACTCAATCCACCACCCTGCTATCCACTCCACTCGCGCTCTGATCCCCACATACCCTGTGCTGCAGCTGGAGCTCTTCGCGGACCTCACAGTACCCGCTAGCTTTTGTTGATGTACTGGCTCAGCTGAGCAACCAGCGGCTCTCCCGAGCAGATCATGTCGCTCCGAGACATACCGAAAGCACTAGGAAAGGGTGAAGTGTCCAACATGTCATTGTCTCTTGTAAGTTTTGAGGCCCATCGTGGCGACTTCAAAGAGGGCGATTGGATATGTCTGGTCCCTACAGCTGAGATGACTCGAGGGCATGCAAATCTCGACACAGCTACCAAGCTTGACCATGCTTGAAGAGGGCTGTGCATCCGGCTACAAAGCCGGACATGATAAGATGTCCTGGAACTGCTTCCGGGAATCCTGCCGTTGGGCTGGTCACAGAATGTTGAGGCTCTGAGTGCGGTGACCACCAGCAGCCCGGTGACAATTATGAACCAGAGTGTTTGCATTCGGAGGTGTCGAACAACAGTGAGCCACTTCAATGAGTCACCTCAGGTTTGCCCGCAACGAAACATGCCGGAAATGTGGCGCACCGCGACCAGCCACTTGTAGCACTGGCTTGCTGACACGTGCATTCGCTTTGGGGTGTCCTCTCATGCTGTCTCATGCCTGTGAGGCCACATCTGCTGGGCTGGGCGGCTTGGGCAGCCTGGGTGGCATGGCTGGCTTGGGTGGCTTTCCTGCCATCGGCCAAAGCCAGGCATTCAGGGACAGAGGCTTAGATTATCTTAGCTATAGATAGTAGTCACCTTCAACGCGGTTCACTGTAGCCCACCTGAGGCCTCCGCGCTGGCAGGCGTTCCCGGCGCCGCAAGCGTCCCTCCGCAATACATAGAGCAAGCAGCGGCCCTGCTGGCTTCCGCCTCAGACGGAAAGGGAAGACCAAGCATTTGCACCGAGTGATGTCGGCTTTGGAGGGTGTGCTTCCACCTCGCGGCTCTGTTGCCTCCGCGCTTCCCGTTGCTCAGACGGCGAGTCTGAGTGGAGGCGCCGGAACCTTTGAAGATGTAGCATGGACCAGCAAGTGTTGCCTGAGGGTTCAAGCCGGGGGACTGGAACTGTTTGAAGCTCAGCACATGCAAGCCGCGATGCGATGTTTCGGGAGCATCCTGCCCTGCAGCGCATCCTTCGGAGAATGAGGTCCTAGCTGCAACAGCCTTGGCTGTCGGGCAGTGCAATTCCCTGAGCAGAAGCTAGCAGCCCTGCACCGAGGTGGTGATCATCAGTTCGGGCCGAGGGCCTCAGGAGATCACTCTGTGAGTCTCTCTCTGCTTGCCATAGCTTAAGCTCCAGGCGGAATTCAACTTGCCGGAAATGCGGGACTCCCAAGTCTAGGGCTTAAATTGGAGCTTAGCACGACAAAGCCGGCCAGGAACAGGTCGAAAGAGCCAACAAGCTACTCGTACCACTTAATGCAGCTGTTTCAGCATAGGCCTGCAGATGTGAGTCTGGGACTCAGTGCAGCTCACACAGTTGTGAGCTTGTCTCGCACTTGCATGTGTGCTGCGGCGAACTTGTCTTTCAGAAGTATCCACAAATCATTCGAAGGTGCATCGCGGCACATAGAGGACAGGCATTACGTGGACGACTCAGCGATTCAGCCGCGCGTGATCTCAGTGTTCGGTGTTTTCGCCTTGTCGGTGGTTTGCGAGCCGTGCTGCAGCAAAGGACAGAGCTGAGCGGCCTGCTGCGGGCGGATGCCTCCGATATTTCTTCATGAACAGTTGTGGAGTTTGAGTGAAAGGCCCCATAAGAGTCCTGAAGCAAAGGTGCACCTAACGTCTATGGCATCGCGGGGTCGCTGTTGGTAAGCCCGGGGAGTCGATGCTACTCGGGAAGTTGCAGTGACAAGTGCAGAGTGGCGCAGGCCGACATTCAAGCCCGCGCCGCTGGCGGAGCGCAACGAAACTCGCCACGACCTGCAGTATGTTTTACCAAGCCGGTTTGCGGTCTCAGCCCACAGCTGAGGTCAGTTTTGTCCAGCCCGAAGCTTAGTTCTGACTGCTCCGAGTTGCTAGCTTCTGCGGAAGACAAGAGCAGTGTGAAGTGAAGCCAAGGCAATAACCAGGCGATGAAGCCTGGTGATTGGATTTGCTCCAGCTGTGGAGACTTGCAATTTGCCCGGAACGAGGCTTGTAGGAAGTCCGAGCCCAAGTGTAGCTTTAGTCTTGCAATGTCTTCGACCAGCTCTCTAGCACTGTTGCGGTCGTCCTGAGGTGTGGCGCTGCAAAGCCAAGAGAAGCCGCACGTTCCCGAAGCCCTGTTCGTCGTTATTAGAGGTCGAGCACTCAGACGGCTACAAGTCGAGAAGTGCCGAGGCGAGATGACCATGTCTGCACGGAAAGCAGATTGAAGAAAGACAAAGACTACCTATCCATCATGCAAAGTCGTCACACAGGGTCGTGCTGGAATTGCCCACCCTCCATGAATGTCCATGACGTGCCAGTTCATAGTATAAGATGGGAAGAAGGTGGTGTGACCGATCAGTGGATAACACCAACGAGTTAACTAGGGCAGACGCTGATAGACACTGTTTGGGCAGTTGGGCTTCTGCCTGCAAAGACGACCTTTGTGGAAAGTTGGTTCCCCTGGTGAACGGATCGCAGAGGCTACCTGTAAATTAGCCTGTAAAGGCAGATCGATTGTGAAGTAAAGTACGGCGAGATGCTACTCATGCCCAGTACCCCTGTACACTCTCCGTAACTTGCAAATTACTGCATCGGGCTTTCCGAGGAGACGGGCGACAACTCTGGGCCTTTCGGGGGCGGCAGGGGCGGCGATGAGACGGGTAGCCTTGGGTTTGGGGCTTATGATGGAAAGCCCAAGCCTGGACAACTCCGGGAATGGGGCAGGGGCTTCAATCACGAAAGGTCGGATTCAGGGTGAGGTTCGGACTTCCACGGGCGGCGGCACTTGGTTTTGTCATGTTTGTTTTCGGTACCAAGAGATCTCCAGGCCAGGTGACGGTTGCAAAGGGGACACTTCGGTGGTTTGTGGGTTTGGGGCGGCATTGATTCGACGCGAGACAGCTCTTCTTCTTGTCATTCCTGCCATGCAAAAACCAACTGTAAATCTGTAAATCGACAGACAGCCAGGTCCTTAGGCGGGCTTTCGGACACTACACGAACTGGAGCGATCTCCATGCAGGTCTGCCAGGCTCTTTACCCGAAAGATAGCTTCACTGAGGACACTGGCTTGGCCTACCTGCCGAAGAAGGCTGCCTCTTTAGGAGAAGCAGATCTGAGGGAATCCTGTCTTTGAAGCAAAGGATTCATGTTCGTGTGCAATCAAGACCTTAGCTGCTAGAGTCAGTCCGTTTGCTTCGTTGTGCATTCCTCAGGGTGCAAGCCTTTCCACCACAAGCCATTGCTGCTCTTGGGATCGAGAACTCCAGTATGCTTGTGTAGAGTGGTGGAAGCTTGTACTGACTTTGTGGCAGAAGTCCTCAACCTTTCTCGGACTGAAACCAGTCTGCCTTTCGTAGCAACGAGACTGCTTGAATGGATCACGTAGACCAAAAGCCTATGGCATCAGCATGCAGTAGCCAGATCATGCACCGCATTGATGGGACAGCATCAGAAGACGACGTTGCATTCGAGGTTTATCGTCGGAGCATGCAGACAGAGTGTGTTGTTGAGAAGCAGCTTCGAGGTGCGCGGAAAAAACGGCGTTTTGCTGGCCATTTTGCACCAAAGATGCTGCGCTCCGCAAGTCAGATGCAAACGCTGCTGCGCACACTGCCTCGCTCAAGAGAACAGGACCCTCCCTGGCTCCCCCATTGGGGCAAGGCCCAACCCAACTCCACCACACGCTGAAACACAGCCCAGCACTGCACATTGCAACTCCTGCACCTACCTTCACCCTACGAGCTCGCAGACTCGCAGAAATTCGGAAATCCGCCCAAAGTCATGGCAAAGCTTTTCGAGGAGGTGGTGAGTGGAAACGTGGGGTTGGAGGCTGAGGGAAAAAGGCTTCGAGCCTCCCTGGACCCTGCCGAAAGCTGAGGCCGGCCTCCACTGCGGACATCATCATCCACTTCGGGCCTCCAAGCCGGATTCCTAGGGAGAGCTGGCATAGGACCACGATGGACGTGTCGCGTGAGTCACGTCTGCCGGACAAGGTGGCCTGGACCACCCTCCGCAGCTCGCAACACCGCCTGTTGCTCGAAGCTCAGATCGCAGAAAGCCCTGGATATGCAACAAGTTGGGGCATGCGGTGCAAGTGACCTTGAAGCCTTGGATTTTTCCCGAGACTTTCACTTCTTTCTGAATGAGGGCTGTCGGCCCAAGCAGATAGCAGGCTGTATCTGTTGAGGGCGGTGTAGGATTCCGAATGCGAATCAAACTTGCCCGCCTTTTCAGTGTTTCCATATTCACTATCACATGTACTCCCCTGACACAGGCTGAGGTGTCTGAACTGAAGGAGGTCAAGCCCCGTGAGCATTTGGATCATTCGAAGGTGATCTCTATGCTGCTGACCGACACAGGGCTAGTTCGGAGGGAACCGCAGCCGCATCACAGAAGCATCGTGAAATGTGAGACGACTCAGGGAGCAATCACGATTGAACTGGATTCCATGCAGTCTCCACAAGGAGCGCGGAGGTTGCTGGATTTGGTTCGTGACGGCTTCTTCTCCGACCAAGCGATTTTCAAAGCGGTGAGAGGCTTTGTGGCACAGTTCGGCATCAGCGACAACAGCGACATGAATGAAAAGTGGTCGCCGACTATTCCAGATGATGAGAGGACACAAGGAAGTTTCATTCCGAAAGGCACTGTTTTCCTGGCTGCAGATCGGCCCAACGCTAGAAGCACGCAAGTTGCTGTGGCACTGGCGGATCTCTCGCTGACGGAGCACGGACGGAGGCCCATCGCCCCTTGGGAGACACCGATCGGCCGGGTCGATTTGGCTGATCTGCCTGTGCTTGATCGTCTCTTCACCGGTTATGCGGATGGCGTGGACGAGAAGGAGCTACTTCGGAACGGGAATTCCTACGCGCGGGAGTTTTACCCGCGTCTGGACTTTGTCAAGCACTGCAACGTTCCAGGAGATCCAGTATCTGAGCTGGCCAGCCTGAGGGTGCCTGAAGCCTGAAGGGCTTCAAATCTTTCGGCGAAGCCAAGCAGCGGAGAGGCAGCCTTTCGGGTGTGGGCAAAGTTCGCTGCCTGGAATCCAGGAACGGGCGCGATTTGTATAGCTTCAAAAGAGTGGCTCGGATAGAAGGCCCACCTGTCTTTCAGGTTAGCCTTGACCAATTCAGACATGTGTGAGCTCGTGCATTCAGCCCACGGCCTATGGAGAAAGCGAGTGCCTTTGCTCTTGTCCTGTACTTGCTGGCAACATCGCGGGTGAGGTTTCCAGCACTGCTGCAGGCCTCCCCTTCGAGTGGAGTGATGGGCTGTGGCACATCGTGACACCCTCAAAAGTTTCGCACTCCTGAGCACATCGCAGTCGGTGCACAAAGGGCATCGGATATCGCTTACCCAGGCCCGGTGGATTTCAGCAAGCAAGTCCGAGGCTTCCTGTCAAGAGTTTTGGAAGACCATGTCCCACAGTGTCCCGCAGTTGGGGACGGGGAGCTGAACACAGCTCTGGGCCTGCCAGGCCTGGATTGGCCATGCACTCCAGCCCTATGTCGCCGAACAGGACCCGAACTTGCAACCATGGTCAATGTTTGGGTGATTCCGTTCTGGGCGGTACTTTGGCAGGACAACGCGCAGTGGGTGGATGCACGGTGCAGGCAAAGGGGGGCCAAGGGGCCAAGTCCCAGCCTTTCATGCAGAGACCTGGAGGAAATGAGCAGATGCACGTGGCCCTGGCCTTGGATGTTGGTGCATGAACTACCTTGCTTGCACGTTTCTGCTGAGGCTGGCCAGATGCCCCTGCGATGTCACAGCCTGCTGCTTCGCACACAGCCAGTGTGCACACCCCAGCTTTGTCGCCATGGCTGTTGCGCCGCGAGGAGCAGAAAAACTTGTCCAGTCGTGGTCCTTGCTGTTTCGCTTCAGGTTGCTCGACCGACTTCTAGCACAGCAGGAGTGCAGGTAGGGCACCAAGCCGCAAGGATCAGGTGCAGCTGTCGCCGCGTGCTCCGGACTTTGGCCAGCTTTGATAAACATCGCAAGGTTCGGCCATGCCATGGCAGACGTCCAGGGCAGTGTTGCCACCACCAGCAATTCTCTCAGTGTCCCACGTCTCTAAGAGGAGTTCCAGAGAGAGAGAGCTGAGGTCCGACAGTTTCGGCACAGTTCGGAGGTTATCCGTCGAGCACAGGCAGTTCCACTAGTGCCGCAGGCTGAAAAACTTCCCTCACCGCGTGCCGTTCGCGAATATCTGCAATCTTCTGCACGACGGTGTGAGGCTGAGCCTCGGGAGCCCCCGCCCGCCTCCGCGGCGGCGGCTGCGGCGGCCGAGGCGGCAGCGGCGGCGGCCTGGCTCGGGACTCGGAGCGAGAGTTTGAAAGTTGGCTCGGAGCCCGAGACGCGCGGCCAGGCCTGACAAGGACTTCGCCGTCCTCCCGGATCCGGTCCAAGAGCCTGCAGAGGCGGTCTGCGACGTTCAAGACCCGGTTCAGGATCAGGTTCAAGACCAGGCCGGCCCTGTCCAGAAAGTTTCGACATGCCCTCTTTCTGGCGGATGTAGCTCGAGGGCAGTGTGGACGCCTCCTCCGCGCGTGGCGCCTCCGTCGACCGCTGCTCTGGGGCGCCGGCACAGGCCACAACGGCCCCCCGGGGTTGGGAGCTTGAGAGCTTGGACTCGGAGTGTCAAGCGTGATTAGGTGGAGGCCGTGAACTCTCCGCGGACGGCCACGGCAGGCCCAGCGCCGGAAAAGCCGGTCGAGGCAGGAGAGCAGAGAATGGAGAGAACGCCATGAAACTTCCGACCGGTCCCTCTGCTCGGTGGTTTGGTCCGGGGCGAGCTCTGTCAAAGTGTCGACCTCATGGACCTGGAGCCAGCGATGTCACGAAACTGTCAAAGCCTCAACGTTAGCTAGGTACATCGACCCTTGCCGATAGACGGTCGTGGTGCAAGATACGAACGAGAGACTGGATTAGACGGTCGAGGTTGCCCGAATCAAGCTTTCACGCAGAGTAATCTAACACAGCTCATCGGCACCCCCATCATGACAAAGAGCACTCGAGCCCATGGTGTCTTGGATTTTCTCTTCAAGGGGAGTTTGCTGTCTGTGTGGAACGGCGCACTTTGCAACTTCAAACGCAGGTGACAGTGGACGATGAGCCCGAGGCGCGACGCAGTCATGTAAGAGCCACATGAACTGTCGGATTCACGATGGAGAGCCAGTTGCAGTAGCAGCAGCAGTAGCAGCAGCAGTAGCAGTAGCGGGTAGCAGTAGCATTAGCAAGTAGCAAGTAGCAAGTAGCAAGCAGCAGTAGCAGTAGCAGCACCAGGAGGAGGAGGTGGAGGAGGAGTAGTAGTGGTGGTGGTTGTCGGACTGGTAGCAGCAGCAGCAACAGCAGCAGCCGTCGTCGTAGTCAGTGGTAGTGGAAAGGGAGGAACAGCATGGCTGGGGTATTTTTGTCGGTTTTGTGGAGCAGTGAGAATCTCTGGGCATGGGGGGCGCAAAAACCGCAACCCGATGTAAAGGGGGTGCTTAAAGGGGAGGTGTGATGCTAATGGGAGGAGCTGTAGCACCAGCGCCTCTCTCGCCTACGCAAAGCGGCAGCCATGGCGCTGGCGGTTCTCGGATGTGACGACAACTTACGGAACCTACTCTTGCTCTGTTCTTGCCAATTGGCTTGATATTATGTCGTAATCGATCCTGTCCAGCCGCCTGCAGGTTCAGAGTGGCTGCTGTAGGGCTCCTCCGTTGACTGCTGGATCCATGCCCGGTATCAGGTCTTCCTCGAAATGATCAGATTCGTCTACTTAAACACCTGCCATGTGGATCAGTCCAACGTGAAGGCTCTGCGGCTCTGTGACCCAGCTTTGCATGCTGGTATTGGTTGCTCACCAGGCTTTGCTGCACATTGCGGACAAGTACTGCATCGAGGACATTGTAAAGCACTGCTTGCAGTGGATGCAAGACCAATTCACAGCGCGACGCTCATGCTGGACAGAGCTTCGCGTGGACGGGGGCCCGCAGAGCGGGAAGCTGTAGGCCGGCCTCTTCTACCACATGCTTACCGTGAAAATGTCCAACGAGCATTTCGGTAGGCTGCTGCTTCAACCTCAGCCGTCACAGCTAGCGGGAAGTGCCGGGAAGTGCCGGACGGTGTGTTTGCTGCAGAGGTGGAACAGCTTATTGAAGGCGCTGAGGAGTCGACGTCGGATGCTGAGACGACACCGATGGTAGCCTCACGGATACCTTTCTGACTTGTCATTGTCAGAGTTCTTCATGCATCTCAGCACACGAGAATGGTGCACGTCCGTTTTGTCCTTTGATTGACTGCCATTTCGCCTTCGGGGCTGGGGAGGTCATTTCTCATTGGTCACAGCAGGTGCGGAGGCTCTCTGCGTTTTTTCTTTACGACCAGCCGTGCTTCCCCTGCAGATGCCGAAGAGCACTTTGAGAAGCTGCCAGTGCTTCGGTCTTAGTTTCGAGTGATGCCGCTTCCGGGGCCAGAGACGGCCGGAAAGGATGTATACTTCGGAGAGGTCCTTCGTGGAAGCTTTGCTCAGCTCCGACGAGCTGCCCGTCGTCAGCGAGATCGAGGCTCCTGCTTGTGGGCAGCTGATAGCAGCTCTCGAGTCGCTCCCAAAGTGGGCGTCAGGTCATCCACCTGATCGCTCGTTGGGCCAAGGGCGCCCTGGCACAGCAGGACGGCACAACGGTGCACGACGGTAGCAGGGACAGGCTCTCCCTAAACAGCATCGTCTTGTACAGGAGCGGAAAATGGGCTCCCATGATGACGAGCTAGAGAGAAACTCCCACGAGGTGATCCGATTCCTGACGACGTCTGACGAGCTCTGAAGTCTCCGCAAGATTCCCGTCATCGGTCAGGATGGCGACGGACATTATCCGGAGGACGAGACCCACGATGGCCAGGGGCCCCAGGAGCCCGGCATCGAAGGGCAACAGTGTCGCCGTCGTGTGCCTCCTACGGCATCTGAGGGTTTGTTTCAACTGTCGCATGCTTTGTATCGGCTCGGCATGGCCTGCACCCAATGAGGATATTCCGACGTGGGCAGTGGGTGCCGCGGATGCATGTTACTGCATCCTGGAAGTGAGTCTTTCCACCACATGTTCGGCAAACTCGCAGGAACGCAGTGAGTGCATGTCCCAGTGGGTTTCATCGTGGCATCGGTCAGGCAGCAGATGGGTGCTCCTGTGGGCAGCGATGCCGTCGCCCTGGCCAAGACTCAGAGACAGACCTTAGGCCCTGCCAAAGACAGGCAGACAAAGAGAGAAGCGAGTGAACGCCTACATCACCCCTCGCTGACACCCACATGCATGCACGCACGCACGCACGCA